TTCCAAGACCCTACACTTGCCACACCTCTACCCATCCATCTGCCGTGTGGCCCTCCTTGTCTTCCTAACCGGGAAAGGCTTACATGTGTCTGCCTTCCCATGTGGTTGGTCCCTTGTCCATCTCCCCTGCTCTTCTGCCTCTGCACAGGCCACAAACAAGCGGCTGACGAATCACATTCAAAACAGGAAACTCCTTCCAGAGAGGGATCACTTCTTTCCCAATGGGAATGACCTGGGGGGAGACAGCTGAGCCTGAGATGGGGGTCTTCCTGACTCCGCCTTCCTTAGAAAAACACAGTCAAGGTCCAGCCACACAGACTCTACATATAGGATGGATTTTTTTGGGGAGGGCCTGGCTCGGACACAGGTGGATCCTGTCTATGCTCATTCTCTCTTTTTCTGCCCTCTTGAGCTACTAAGGAACTCAGTGTCTTCTCCTAAATCTCAATCACATACCACATCCGCCACCCCAAAGTAGGATTTCCCACCCCAGGCAGCACTGGTTTATAATATTCTCCTTTCCTGGTGCCTCTGATGTGGCAGTAAAATATGAGGCCACCCACGGAGACAGAAGCATCATGGAATCCACAGCTCCCCACCCCCTTTGCAAGGACATAGACTTGACTGATTAGCCAGTGTATTCAGGGAGCTCCTTATGAGAATGGACATATTAGAGCACAAGGAGGAGGCTGCTGATGGGGGACAAAGCCTTTGGGCACAGAGGGTCCATCTATTTTGCCTGAGGTCAAACAGCCAGTCAATTACAGAGGCAGCAGCCCCAGCCCCCAAGGCATCTAGAATTCCAGACCATCCCTCCCCTTCCCTCTGCCAGACAGAGCTGTTCAGAGGCAGCTCCAGCCTGAATGAGCCCCCGGCAAGGAGGCAGCAGTCTGTGTGGCCCATCAGGAGACAGACTTCTGACACCCAGCCAGGCAGGGGGATGGACCGCCTGACCCTCACCTCAGCCTGAGTCCATCTGCCAGGCCCTGCAGTAAACATTCCAGAGATGGGCAAAACAGTTTTTCTCCTGGGAAGGTGAGGCACTGTCAAGGCCAGTGCTACTTGGGTGGTATTGGTGTAATGTATAGTGCTCTGATCTCTGGGTTAGAATCAAACCCAATTGTGCAGTTTGGACCCCATACCATAATAGGTGTCTATTTGTAAATTTATTACAATGATGTACCAGAAGGTGGCAGTAAAGGGTCTTAAAGAAGGAATTCCCTGTGGTCAAGACATTCATCAAGGAACATTTGTTAAGCACAGTCCTGTGCTCTATCTTACTGTGCCGAATACTGCATTGAGACACAGCTTCTGGTTTCCAGGTGCTCACAGATCAGATGTTTGGGACCAGGGGGCAGATAAGAAGTGATGAATAATTACAAGGTGGAGTGGAAAGTGTTATAAAGGCTGTAAATACAGTAGTAGTCAAGGAGGGACACTCAAGCCAGCCAATTAGGGGGTGCTACCAAGGAAAACATCAGAATATGCATCACCCAGGAGGCTCTTGGAACATGAGAAAGAGGCATCCAAGCAAAGAAGAGTCTTAAACTTCCTAAGCAGAGAGGATGGTATGTGCAAAGTCTCAGAGGCACAACAGCAGAGGAAGTGTTTAAGGAATCACAGAAAGTCTGGTGTGTCCATGCAGTGGGCCATACACCAGCAGGCTCTAGATCATGAAGGACCCTGGGCTGAATTCTGAAAATGCAAGACCACTAGAGATTGTAAGACTTTAAATAGGAACCTCTCCATATGGAATATGTGGAGAGGAGTCCTGGCCCCATCACTTCTCAGAGTTCACAGAAAGGTCAAGTAGGAGGAGGCATGTAGAAGAGCTTGCAGCCTTATATGCAATGTCATCCATTTACTGTCATTGTCGTCATGCATCGCTCATTGCACCTATGGGCCACATTGAAGCAGGGTATCCCATAATTCTGTTTATTAGCCTCCATGAAGATGAGATTGTGTTTTGTCTATTTGTGGGGCTCCAATCCACAGTACCCAATCCAGCACAGAGTAGACATTCAATAATTCCTTGTTGTCATGGGTCCTGCATTACATACATTGGGTTTACTATGTGCCAAGAACGATTCTAAGTGCTTTATTCACCTTGTTTCATTTAGTCTTCATGGTGACCCTGTGAGGTAACGACTATTATTATCCCCATTTTCCAGATGTGGAAACAGGCATGTGGAGGTTGAGAGACTTATCCGAGGTTGCACAGAAAGTGAGTGAAAGAGCTGCAATTGCATCCAGGTTGTCCATCACTCTGCTGCCTTAGAGTATAGAGAGTCAAGAAAATTTCTCACCATGGCCTTTCCTGATAGATACTATCACCATGTGACAAATGGGGAAACAGATCAGGAGGGTTAAGTACTTCATTTTAGAATACATGGTGAGTAACAGAGCTAAAATTTTCCATAAGCCTGTGATTCCCAAGCCATATATTTTTTTCTACCATGCCAGTGAGTGTAATCATAGGCCCCATCCTGAGGTTCCATGCCCACTTCAGCTAAACCCAAGATAGAAGGATGCTTGCCCTTGATCCTGCTCTGGCTCTTGCTAGCTACACTCCTTTTAACAGGCAGAGGAGTTAGCAGGGCCAAGAGGATGTACCCACCAGGACCCAACAAACTGTATCTTAAACCATGATCTGGGTGCCCAAACCCTAAATTTCCCTGCCTAAAGGGACCTCAGGCCAATTCCAGGGTCTATGTAGGTCGATTTCTTGGTCTATCTTCCCAAGAGGCAGTCAAGAAATGAGTGTTTGGGGACTGAGGACGTCAACTAAATTTTACCACATGATCTGGGCCATCCATAGACCTGCAGAAGAATCTGAAGTGGTACAGGACAGAGAGGAAGGTGCATGGAAAATTAGGGATGATCATGGATTATGGCTGAGGACTAAGAGCTGGCAGTCTCCATGCCACCATATTGTTGGTAAAGCGCAAAGAATTGTAGGTTTAAATTCTGAGTGTTCAGGGTCATTATAAAGTTGTTTTCATCAAGGAAGCAAGACAGACATGCTTTATTTAAATGTTTGCTGGCTTTGTTTATTTATTCTAAATATTAGAAATATGACTATAGGCCTCCATTTGTTGCATTTTCCTAGGCCCCACAAATACTAAAGGTGGGCCTGTCCTGATATCTGGAATTTTCCAATACTAGCATTAAGGATTTGTGATAAAATTCACAAATTGTGTGAAAAAATTTGGCTTTATATGAGGATGGCTGCACACATTTTATTGTAGAGCATTACTGGGAGAAAAGAAAACCAGAATCTCACTTTCAGTTCACATCAACAGTTCCTGTCCCACAAAAGTCTAGCCTTGGTGACATTTCAGCCTGTCAGTATCATTAAGAAAAAGTGGCACTCATACTAGAGATGGCAACCAGGGATCCCAGTGGTCTTGGGGAGAGAAGAACTCCACTAACATTGGCTGAGAATCGATCGGGGTCTTTGGAAACAGACCAAAGCAGTCTGAAATTTTGTAGAAAGGAATCTTTCACAAACGGAAGGCTGAGAAAATAGTTGGCAACATATATGTTCTGGGGAAAAGAATAGAAGAGGCTAAGAAGAAACTTCCTGAATGTAATGTTTACAAATTTTTGATCAGAGCCTAATCATGTAGCCACACCAAGCTGATGGGAGGGTTGAGATATAAATCTTTATGTGCTAATCTAGAAACTCCCACAGTGGAAAAAGGGGAGAATGAGATGTGGGAAGAAAAGAGCTATCTCCGCCCTCCAGAGAAGGTTCATGGAAATGCTTAACATAGTGCCTAGTTTACAGCAAGTGACAGAGAACAATTGGTTTCATTTTACTAGCAATCAAAAAAAGAACAAATGGAAACTTTTGTTACTTTAGTTTTGTATTAGGAGACTCTAAACCCATAAACTTCCCCCTTCCCACCCCCAAATTTCACTGCTGTTTTCCAGGCAAAAAACACAGGTGTAGAACTAGAAAGCCTGGATTCAAATCCTGTACACAAAGTAATTAGTCTCTCTGGGTTTGGCGGTATTCTCATCTATAGGATGGAAATAAAAATGTGTACTTCATGGTGGTGGTTATGAACATTAAATGAAAAAAGATTATAGGTTCAACCCAAAGCTCATTGATTTTTCCCCTCATTTATTAATTCAACAGATATAATTGAGCTTCTACAGTGCGTTAAGCTATTCTGCTGAATTTGGGGATAAAATGATGACTCAGATAAGGCTACTTCTGATTGGTAAGAAATAGGTATTAAATATGGTTACTAATTCTAGTTAGAATAGGCATTATGAAAGAAAACCTATGAATGAATCCAAATCAGAAGAAAGATGAACTATGGATCAGAATTAGGGTACTCATTGAGGAAAACAGGCAAATGGGTAGATTTGAGAAACAATGGGAATGTAGTCATTGGGATGGGAGAAAGAGGTCACAATGATGCTGCCTGTGCTTCTGCACTCACTGATAACAGGGAAGACAGAGGCAGAAGTGTAGCAGAAATGTCAGTAGAAGAGTGGATGGAAGGGTGAATGGATATATTAATAGATTGATGGACAAAGGGGCAAATGATCACTAGACAAAATACAGAAATTATCATTGGAAAGATAAAGAAATGGGTGAATGGATAGCTCAATAGCTCCTTGATGGAGTACATGTGGTATATTTTAATAAAATCCTGCTTTATTTATCTCATTAATCTTTAAAATAACCCTTAGAAATGTGGAGTACAGTTATTAATAACTTTCTTTTATATAAAATAAAAGTGAGGCATGTGTAGTCAAGTGATTTGACAGAACCAAAACTTGAGTCTCCCATCTTCCCACACACACTCTTTCCCCTCTGCTCCACACTGCCTCTAAATAATGAGACAATCAGTTATGGTGAGCAGAGAGCAGGCAAGTGAAGACTGTGTCTAGGTGTGCACCTCTAGGGGTAATGCCTTTGGGACAAGGGAGAAAAGGGAAAAGCTGTCTGCATCCTCTCAGCAGATTTCTTCCTCCCCTTGCAGGTCGAAGTATTTCCATGGAAAGAAGGTGAATGGAGAGATTGAGATCCGAGTTGAACAGGTAGGTGGGAACCGAATCCTTAGCACTACCACTGTACAATTTCCTAAGCTGGGGCTGTTCCCAAGAGCTAACTTGGTCCCATCTTATGCAGCCATAATGAACTAAGATTACAAAAAAAAAATCTTTGCTTACACCTGGGAGTATCAATAAATTCCAGAATTATTTGGTCCAGAAGTTTTCAACCGTTTTTTCATTCTACAAAATAGCAACAAGTAGAGCTGCCTTGATGGATATGGGCATGGAAACCTCAAAAGCCTGTCTGCTTCATCCCGTCCCTCATGGTCCCCAAGGCATCTACTTGGAACCACTTTGACTAAGGAGTATAATTTAGGAGCATAATGTGTTTGAATCCTGGCTTTCTCATTTTTCTAGGTATTAAGCAGGTGACTTAATCTCTGTGCTTTAATTTTCTTGTAACATTATTTTGGGGGTTAAATTATTTAAAAACTCAAAAGCAATCAAAATTGAGAATACGAGAATTTCTTATTGCCACTATTATCAGTATCCTATTCCTTTATGTGGAAAGAAACATGGACTTTCTCAGGACTGTGTAGCAAATCAGTGGCATAATTAGGACTGGAAGGTGTGCTCTCCTGACTTCATACTGAGAGTTCCTCCCATTCATCACGTGAAACCCTTCTTTCTGGGAGCACTGCGCTCCACCTCAGAGAGCACATTAGAGCAAGGGCTCTGGAGCCAGACTTCAGGTTCAAATCCCAATACCACCCCTTAATCTGTGGCCTTGGCTGAGCAATACTTAAGTTCTCTCTAGCTCTTCATTTGTATTCTTGGAATAATAATAGCACCAACCTATTGCCTGGTACCTACCAGGCACTTAATAAATGTTACCCATTCTACCTTCACCTTCTTGTTTCTCTATTTCTCCTTCTCCATCTCCTTCTTCCTCTTCTCATCCTCCTCCTTCTCCTGCTCTTCTTCCCCTCCTTTTTCTCCTGCTCCTTGTTGTTGTAGTTATTGTTCTCTGCCTCCTTCTTTTTCTTTGTCATCTTTGTCTTATTCATCATCTTCATCTTCTTTGTCATCTTTCTCATCTTCTTCCTCTTCAAAGGCAAACAATAACCAAGATAGACAAGGTCCTCACTGTAAAATTAATTAGGAAATGCACAATAAAAAAATCAGAGGGTGGAGGCATGGCTTCTCCCTTTGTACTCTTTGAAGTTTGTGTCATAGGAATAGAAAAGACTTCTGAGCATCACATTGATTGAGTTGGCTTCATATTAAAACACCTACAATTTGATCCTGTGGCTTTCAAGTCAATCCAACATCTAATGGTTTTCCTTCCATGGTAAAAATCAGGTTATTTTTGCTCATTTTACAAATATTTGTCAAGTGTCTACTATGCTAGCTAGCTCATGTGGAGAATGAGGATAGAGAAGCAGGGGCCTAGGCCCAAAACATCTTGTGGTCTGGGAAGGGAGAGAAGGTAGGTGAATCTTTACAGAACTTCAACACAGAGTCCAGGAAAGAAAGCCTCAAACTTAGCATTGTGGGCAGCAAAGGCCACTATCTGCTGAGTGAGTCAGAAGTGGCTTTGAGGAGAGAGTGCTACTTGAGATGGGTTGGAGGATGTGAACCTGTGAAGATGGTGCTATAAAGTTCGTGAGATGGATGCCATATGAGTGACAGAAAGAAAGGGAGGGAGTCCAATTGCTTGAATCCAAAACAAGATACATGGTCTTTGCCCACCCTGACTTATTCCTTCTCCATATTCCCTCTGTTTATATTCCCTCTATTTATAGGTATGACTCTTTATAGAGTCATACCATGTACCTTCTACCTACTCAGACTCCTATATGCCTCTCTCTTCCTCCATGACACCCATCAACTGCCAAGTCCTGTTGAACTCCACATCCCACAATTCCCTAGTTTGTCCACTTCTCTCCATACCATTGTCAAGGATCTTCCTTGGGTAGATTATCAACTGTCATCCATGTTTCTTAATCAACAACTCTAGAACTCCATTTTTTAAGCCATCTCAAAATTATTCCTCATGCCAAAGCTAGAGAGGTCTTTCTAAAAAAAAAAAGCAAATTAGATTCTTTAAAGTATTAGCTTTGAAATCCTTTCCTCAAAGTTTCCTCTGAGCCCTATCTAAATCAGGTAACTTGGTTGGTCTTTGTCATAGCACCTCAGCTTTTCCTTCCTAGCCCATCTGAGGTTTTAACACTCTCTCTTTCTCTCTCTATATATGCTTTAAATTTTATCCATACTTATATAGAGATAAGGTAGAGGCCCTGGCTATTTGAACCTTACTCTGTTAAGTAGCACAGAGCCTGGCACAAACTAGAATTGAAGGAAATATTTGCAGAATGAATAACTGATAGATCCCACAGATTCCGGGCTGCTTGTCAGTTCCAAGGATTATAAATCACTGCTCCTTAATCTTTCCTCAAAAATCTAAGTTTTCCATAAACCATGTGGTCAGTCAATGCTCAGTTGCCAACTGAGCTGGCCCTGCCTCTTCCCTTTTGTGGCAACTCCAAAAGTATGTTTTCCTTTCCTCCTTTTATGTTAGTACTGCCTTTGATCCAACTTGTAGGTACAAAATCTATGAACAGGAGTATCTGAGAGAACTGCCATAAGAATAACTCACTCAGGGGACACCCAGCCAGTCTATGAGGGTTACAATTGTGCTGGAAAACATTGGCTAATTTAGTCATTCTGATTTCTGGCCATGCCTCTCCATGGCCAGAATCAGCTAGGAAACCAATTAGCAGGTCATTTGGGCGTTTTTCCCTAGAGGACACACCTTCTCAAACCCATTTTGGAATCTTAATGGCTTGTTTTTGCCATTCTGGATCAATGGGTGGATCACTTTAGCAACCCCCCAGGAATCTCACTATACATCCTCTAGCACTTGGGAAAAGATTTAGGACGGAAGCCACTGTTTAGTCTAAGCTGGCCTCAAATTTTGGGAGCCTGTCTCTCAATTAAGGGCCAAATTAATCAGGTAATTGTACTGTCTGGGTTTTGCTGGACAGAGCGAGAAAGTTAGTTGTGGTTGGCCTAGAGGAAACCTCTGCCTATTCTCTCCACCCTCTTCCCCATAATTCCAAAAGTAGTTCCAAAACCGCTTGCCGGCTCTCATAGAGTCAGGAATCCAGAAGCCCTGAGGAGGCCAGTGGGGAAACTGCATCACTTTGCATTCCGTTACCCAGAATGCCCTGCTGGCTCTGCAGGGTCCTCACCACAGTGTCCTAGTGGGTCTAGAGAGGATCGGGCCAGGGTGGTTTGCATGTCAAGCTCTCCTCTGTTTGTATTTGGGGTCAAGGGTCTTCTACACATGCATAAGTCATGGGACTAAGAAATGAGGCTGATGAATGGATTAATATTAAGTTGACTCTTTCAGTCTCAGGAATTAGAGGACTAGGACTTGGTAGAATAGAATCTGAGGCTTTAGAAACAGAGAGAGAGAGAGATAAGGAGAGAGACACAGACAGACACTGAGCATGTTCAGTATTTCCTCAGTCACATGTTGTCCCTGTCATTGTGTGATAAAAAAGTTGGGATGGAGTTAGGTAGATGTATATGGAACCCAACGAAAACTGTTAGACACTAGCTTCTCTTCTGACATTTTTATATTTACTCAACATAATTGTATTTTGAAAGGTATTTTTTCTCTGAAAATATTTTAAACACTTCAGAACCAGTACATGTTGAGTATCTCTTACCAAATATGCTTGGAGTCAAAAGTGTTTCAGATTTCAAATGTTTTTCAGAGTTAGGAATGTTTGCATATATGAAATAAGATATCTTGGGAATGGGCTCCAAGTCTAAATACAAAATTCATTTATATTTCATATATACTTCATATACATAGGCCAAAGGTAATTTTAATATGATATTGTTAGTGCACCTGTGGTTTGACTGCAACCTGTCACATGAGGACAAATGTGGAATTTTCCTCAGCAGGAAATGATCACTTGATAGAAATAAACATTGAAAAAAATGCATCTTAACAGCTTCCCAAAGTGCTTTGTCCTTGTCTTTGTTTTATATCTTAATGGTGACTTATCAAATTAAATTTTCTGGAGACCTGAAGCAGAATGGGAGAGAGAATATGCTAGATGACATTTGGCATGATCAGATTGAATGAGGACCCCTTCAAAAACTTAGCTGTGAAGGAGCAGGATTTGAAAGACCTTATTTATTAAAATCACATGAGAAATAAAGACCTGTGCTTTGAGTTGAACACAGCTTAACGTTTGTGGGAGGAAATACAGTGTGAAGGTTAAGATTGTGGCTCTAGGGTAAGATAGATGGGCTGAAATCTTAGCTCCACCATGTTTTTAGTTGTGTTGGTCTTCTTGTAACTATGGATCAGTTTCCTTATCACAAAAAAATGAGGACAATAATTTATATCCCCTAGAGTGATTGTGTGGTTAAATGAGTTGATATAAGCATAATTTCTTAGCATAATTAGCATAATTTCTTTTCTGGCACATGTACTGGGTGCTCAATAAGCTATAGTTATAGTTGATACTGCCCCTAAACCTGGTGCCACTTCAGGCTGCATTATCAAAGTACAGTGTTTAGAATAGGCGATGGCTCATAGCCTCTCCTACCTCTACCACTACACACACGCTACATTCTTGTCAGAGTCTGGTGTGAAATCCACTGTAAAGGGATAATAGCAATTCTGGAATGCCTTCTGAAGAGTGATTGGAGTAAGAGGAGACTAAAGTCTATGAGGAAGGAGGGTTGGGTCATGGATTGGCAGTGTTTTGCACAGAGGAAGAGAGGTGTCACTAGGTCCCAGTCTACTCTTTACAAGAATCTACAAGTAGTTGATAAAATAATAGCTAACATGTGTTGAGTCCTTACTGAATAAAGCTAAAGGCTTTTTTGTTGTTGAGGTAGGCACTGCTATCACCTCCATGCTACAGAAACTAGGGCTCAGAGAAAATAGGTAGCTTGCCCAAAGTTGCCCAGCTAATAAGTGACAGGAGCCCCTGTTTTTTAACCCAGCTAACTGGATG